TTTAAGTCCCTTAACTATTGTATAGATCCCTAATTTGGTCCACAAACTTTAAATCTCACTTTTTGATCCCTCAAGATTGAATTTTCCACTCTCTTTTAGCCTTATTGTTAAGTTTTAGCACAGATAGTAAGTCTTCAAATATGTAATTTTTTTTTTCAATGTTTGAATATTTAGGTGAAATGAGATGGAAATACAAAATGCTTACAAGGCAACTCTATTGTCTACATAGAAATTTAAAAAAGTAATATTTTGTTGACTAAATCCATGTGACCTTAAAGAGGGAAGATCCACAAAGAACTAGTTCAATTTCAAGATACCAATTTCAAATATGATTGAATTAGAATTTGTAGTTTGAGAATTAGGGCTAAGAATTAGCAGGAAGGGTTTAGGTTCTACCTTTCATTTATATATATATATATATATATATATAAGGGGGGATTTCAAATGTAAATAGGTCATTCAAAAAAAATTTAAAGAAAATAAAATTGAATAATAGCACCAAGTCTTATACTTTGAGAGCTTGGAAATTTTTCCTAGCAATAAAACTCAAATTTCTTGTTTTCTATGTGTGTATGCTTCTTAATCTTTGATTTGTTCATGTGTGTAGAGGGATCAAAGTTTGAATTTTCTAAGTGGAAATTGATACTAACTAAACACTTACCATACACATGGCAACTCCTCACTTTTCCATATGCTTCAAGAATAATTGATGTTGGTAGAGCTACCTAGTTTCAGACAAAGGAAAGCTCTCACAAAATACCTAGTAGATCTAAGTACCTATGAAACTCCTAGACTCCTAGCGATGAGCAATCCTAGTCAAGACCTATGTAGCTAGTAAGCTACCCAAGTGTAGGTATGAAAAAGACTTAGCTCCCAAGGCTAAGTAAAAGACAAGGTATAAAGGATAGGGGCTTACACCATGTTAGGTAGTACAGTCTAGAGTATTAATCGTGCTAGCTGTAAGATGTTAGAAGACGTTTGCCTCAACCCTCTTTGTCTTCTATCCATGTGTCTTAATAGTATAGGCTGTCGCACCTGTCACTTATACTATTTTGACAGGTATAAAACCTATGACATATACAAATCGATAAGTCCACCCACTATGAGACAAATTAGGAAATGGACTATAAAAGGCCTCCCCCAAACCATTTCAGGTAATCTCTTGGAGCCCATCTTCTTTCCTAGACTTCTCCTCCCTTCTCCTATATCTTCACCAAACCTTGCTTGAGTTAAGTATTAGAGGTTGTATGTTAGAGACACTTTTGATGCCTGTCTTAACAAGTTCTTTCCTTTTTCCACGCGCAGGTGCACAGGTGCTTAGAACCTCATCTAGCTATTCCTAGAAGCAAAATCCATGATTAATAGAAATCACGCCCAATTAATCTCGGTCTAGTATTCCCTAGTTCTATTATTATTAGCAATGTTATTATTTTGGTTCAATTATAATTTTAATCTGGAGTACGACTGTTTTCTTACTGTAATTATAACATATTATTTTTGTTTAAGAGTTCAATTAATTGATTTAGATGATTTAAGGACTTTAGTTTTTGAACCATGGCATGTTGGGCATCGGATAATCTGAAGTCATTTTTATTCATATTTTATAGTTAATGAGAACTGGGTGATTAGAAAGAACAGACTAAAAAAAGAAGAATGGAGAGAAATAGAAAGACGTATAAGTAGAAACAAAAGTTAGAAAAACAATTAAGAACAAACTGTAAAAAGAACAAAAGAAAAAAAAAGGAAAAAAAATAGTAAGAAAAGAAGATCGGGGTGTGGTTAAAAAAAATCTTGATAATTTAATTTTTCACTTTTAATGGTTATTATTTATTTAATTTTTATCTCATATTTTTTTAATGTTAATTTTGATTTTTTCTAAATCATAATAAATTTTAATAATTTATAATAAAAATAAATAATTATGATTTTTAATAAGATTTGTGCAATAGAACTGAAATAAAAACAAACTAAAAAATGAAGAATAATGGAAAGAAATAGAAAATGGTATCAGC